GTTTTCTGACTTAAAGAGCTTTAGATGTTTAGTAAAGTACACTTCTGGGGGTTTTAAAAGGCATCTGAGACAACTGAGTCTGAGGGCTTTTGGCTCTACCACCCTGGCCCGTAACCACATTCCACACTTACAGTTTGTCAGGGCATCTCAACGCTCCCCCCAGCAAGGATGGATGAGCCAGACACCCACAGAGCCCACCCTAGTACTGAGTTTTCTCTCCTTTTGTTGCAATACTTGTTAATATAGACTAATTCCAAAGCTAAGCTTGTCTCTGGAAAGAATAGTCCCAGAAACATCAGCCACAAAGACTGTGATGTTGGTGACAAGTGACCAGTACATTAATTGTGAAGCCACACATATAACAGCCACAAACTCATTTCTATGGAGTATTCACTCCACAGTTCTACAAAGACCTGGGTTTGACAATTGACTGGTGGGTCCTCTGGAACAGGGAAACTCTCTGTCCTGAGTGAAGGATGTACTAAGGGACAGGGGCCACAGGTGAGTCCCAAGCTTCCTAGAATTAAGATGGTCAGTGAGGGTAACCTAGGCCTCCTCTCCTGCTATTCCTTAAACTATTTATTGGATCGGGTCTGACAGCGTTGGTTCTAAAAGGATATTAAGTGCTTCTTAAGTTGTGTGACATGATCCAGCCTTCCCACACCCTGACCCCATTTCCTCAGCTCTCAGGTAGGAGGGTTATATATGACTCTCACTAAATTTGTTGTTGCTGGTAGTTGCTGTCAAGCTGGCTTCCACTCCTGGCAACCTTATGCCCAACAGAATGAAATATTGCTCGGTCCTGCACCATCTTCATGATGTTTGAGCCCGTTGTTGGGGCTGTTGGGTCAATCTATCTCATTGAAGGTTTCCTTGTTTTTGCTGACCCTCTAGTTTACCAAATGTGATGTCCTTTTCTAGTGATCGGTCTTTCCTGATGATGTGTCCAACATTAAGTTGAGCCAAAGTCTTGCCATCCTTGCTTTTAAGGAGTATTCTGGTTGTATTTCTTCTAAGACTGATTTGTTCATTGTTTTGGCCGTCCACGTTATATTCTATATTCTTCTCTACTGTCCCTTGTAGCACCAACACCTTGTGATTTTGATATGACCACTAGGCCCATGTACATATATCCAACAACAAAACTGTGCTTTTCCTGAACAACTGGTTTGCATGTAACTGGGATTCCTGTGAACTGTTGTATTGAACGTGTGTCCCTTTTTGCCTTGGAAGTGGGAAGGCTTGAAACCAGGGCTCTCACAGCCTGCCTGCACTGTGGGTACAAACCTCAGTCTTGATTTTGTCTTCTTGCCTTTATTCTCCCTTTGAACCAATTTTTTCATATTATTTTCTTTAAAATGGATTAATTTATATTTTGAATTAGTAATGCATTTGCATGGTTCAAAAAAAAAGTTACGAAGTGACAGAGAATGAAGATTCTCCCTTCCATTCCTGTCCTAAGCACCAAGTTCCTACCCCCAGAGGTAACCACTGTTAGGGATTTCTAGAGATTTCCCCTTCCAGCGATTTTTAAAGGCATATATACGTATATAAATGCCTATCATGCATATTTATGTACATACAAATCTGTGTTACTTCCCCCTTTCCCACAAATAGTATATACTATACACACTATTTTGCAATTTATCTTTGTCATTTAACAGTATATCTTGGATATTTTTTCATATCAGCATGTAAAATACTTCCCCATGATTATTTTACAGATGTAAGTATTCTGTTTTATGGATGTACGACAATGTATTCAGCCACTTATTTTTAATCTAATTGTATCTTTTATAGGTGGTTTAAGTAATGATTAAAAACACGAGCTATGGATTAGGATGGGGTTTGAATCCTGCTTCCTCTTCTCACTAGCTATATTGTTTTCTCTCTGTGTGCCTCAGTTTCATCCACTGTAAAACGGGACAATAATAGTGTCTATCGCATGGGCTACTGTAGGGATTAAATGAGTTAATAATGGCAACGTGTGGAGCAGAGCTGGGCAATGCTAGTGTTTAAAGTTACTATACATCTCTTAAGCTGCCTTAAAATTGTTTTGAATGAAGTATACTGAATACATCAATACATCATTAAATAAAACCATGTGACTACTACTGCATTTTATTCCTCCATTTATATTTTACAACACTCAGGGCTTATTAATTAGGGTAAGAAGCTAAATGGCCTCAAGTTAAGATAATATGGAACATAACACTGTTTGCAGAGACCAGAGCGTTGGACTCTGGCTGGAATCCTCTCTTGTGTACTGCACTGCCATTATGTTTGGTTGGGAAGCCCAATGGCACAAATGCTGCCCTTCGTTTGTTATGCAAGCTTCAGTGTATTAGCAGACTAGTAGGAAAGAACATAATATTTACCTAAAGAAACCAGTTGTGGTCATCTGATCTCTTTTTTAAAAAAAATATTTCCAGAAAATATTTACAATTTTTAATCACTATTTCTTGTAGAATTTAGCCATTTGTCCTAAAAACTTCTGCTAGGTACTGTTTGTTTGTTTTGGTTTGGGTAAAATGATCAATAAATAATCATTTATGTCAGCTCTTCAAAATATATTATTTCTTAATTTACCCAAAATGCTAGTCCTATTAGTTTTGCATAGATTCAATTCCGACAATGTAAAGTAGTTTCCAATAACTATTCAAATAAAATGGTATAAGTTTCATAGTTTTGCCTTGTATATCAACTTCAACAGAAAGGGGTACAGGAAAAAGTCCCCTGGCTGTATAGATACTGGAAAATATTTCTCCACAGCAAATGTCCAATCTAGATCTGAAAATGTGTAGATTGAATAGATTGTTAATACATCTGCGTTTGACTTAATGATTTACTTATTTGTAGGAAAAACAAACAGGGAAGCTGCAGAGATTTTTAAGACAGAATTAAGAAAGTAAGTGAAATAGTGAAATAGTTTTAAAGCATTTCTCCCTGGAGGCAAGAGATGGGCTGTATCAGTGCTTTTCCAGCCTCTGTTCATCAGCCACACACCTGTATAGGTGACAGGATGCCCTGAACCACAACTGAGGGTATTTCTATGTTCTTTATTCCCCTGTTCCTCCCACTCTCATTCAGTTCTTCCAACAATCTGTCTTATCGAAACATTGTGCCATGAGCTCCACACTATCAAGCACACATATGAAGCAGTACAGCCTTCCTCCACATGTTACCTTCCACTCTTTTAATTGAAACCTGGGAGAAGAGAGTGAAAAAAAACACCTCCCAACAGAACAACCTTAACCCTTGCAATGGTGTTGTGATGTGTCAGCTAGGCTGAACTACAGTCCCAGATTTCTCTTTCTAGCAAGTGCCTGATTAGAGTGGGCTACAAGGGATATTTTCACAGAGCTGAAAGATTAAAGGAAGGCAGCAGTCATTTTATTCAACACACATGCCTTCATCAAATGGTAATCTAGGTGCTTCTGTGAAGAGATTTTGTAGATGTGATTAAAGTCCCTAATCAGTTGACTTTAATCAAAAGGGAGGTTATCCTAGATGGATCTTACTTATTCAGTTGGAAGGACTTTAAAAGAGAGCTTAGGACTTCCCTGAGCTTACAGACTCCAAATACACCTGTGTCTGCAATTGCTCTCCCAGACCCCAGCATCATCTACCTGATTTTCACCTGTGGACAACAGGCTTCAGCTCGTGCCCATGGATTTCTGGCATGCTTGTGATCTTCCTTTCCTGACTGTCTTCCTTGCTTAGCTAGCCCCAACAATTGCAATAAATTTCATGTATATGAAATAAATTTCTTGTAATAAATCCATGTATATATGTATAAACATATTACTGGTTCTGCTTCTCTAGTTAAACATTTAATGATATTGAATTTGGTGTCAGGAGTGGGATGCAGCCATAACAGATATTTGAAATGTGAGAGTGGCTTTGGAACCAGGAAGTGGGCAGAAGCCAAAAGAATGTTGAAAAGTGTAATAAGGAAAACCTAAATTACCTTGAACAGACTGCTGGTAGATATATAGACATTAAAGGTGTCACCCACTAGGGCTGAGAAGGGAGTGAGATACATGTTATAGAAAACTGCAGGAAGGAAGATTCTTGTTATGTAGTGGCAAAAAGCTTAGTGAAATTGTCTGTGAAAAGCAGAACTTACAAGCAATGAAGTTAGTTATATAGCTAAGGATATTTCCAAGCGAAGTGATGGACGTATCACTTGGTTTCTTCTTATTGTTTACAATAAAATGTGAGAAGAGAAAGATAAATCGAGAGAAGAACTGTTAAGCAAAAAATGCCCCAGGACTTAATGCTTTGGAAAATTCTCAGCCTCTCCAGATGATGCTAAAGATGCTAAGAGTAAAAGCTCCTCCAGGTGACTTGAATAAGTAAGCCACCATGAGTCTACAGCTTCCAGGAAATTAATTCTGCCAACAGTCATGTGCGCTTGGAAGAGGACCTGAGCCTCAGATGAGATCACAGCCCAACTGACACCTTAACTGCAGCCTTGTGAGATCCTGAGCAGAGGACCCAGCTATGCTCTGTCTGGACTTCCTGACCTACAGAAACTATGAGATAATACACGTATTTGTTTTCGGCTGTTAAGTTTGTCGTAATTTGTTACACAGCAACAGAAAACCGATACACATACCTTAGGACTTTACAGTCTATACATTGATCATGCCATTGTTGAAGAATAAGCAAACCCAATCTTAGGACATATGATCATAATTTATTATGTTCATAATAAGGAAGTAGTATTTTAAAATCCTTTTGGGATTATTATCTCAGAAGAGTAAAATGGAATAGTTTATGATTTCTGAATGAATCAGCAGAAAATCATAAACCATCCAAGATATAGCCTGGATATAAACCTGTAGGGATGATTTTGCCACCAAGGAGAGTATAAATTTTACTAATGATCAAACACTTTACAAGCACACAAATACTTCAACCACTGTTTCAGTTGGACGATCTTGGATTCTAAGTCAGAAAGAGGTGTGTGGGCAGGTGCTAGAGGTGGCACTCACCTGTGCTTCACCCAGGTGTCAGACTCATTGGCTCGCTCTGTGTAGTTCTCAGGTAGGAAGCCCCGGCAGCCCGTCCACCGTGAGATCCCGATCACCCAGCCTTCACTGGCTTCCTTCTGCTGAGTTGGGTCCACAAAGATGTAGTCACCAGGGCTTAGATTCAGCTCATCCGTGTTCTGGGGTTTATACTGGAATGTGGCCTTCAAGGTCTAGAAAAGAGGAAGAGTCTTTTCATGTCCCAGGCAAGGATTTGTGCTGGGAAATGACAGCAATTGTCATTGTTGTTGACTGACACCGAGTCGTCCTTTGACTCATGGCAGCCCCAATGCACAACGAAATGAAATGCTGCCCAGTCCAGTGCCAGTCCCATGACCAGTTGTAGATCAGACTGTGTACTCCATAGGGTTTTCACTGGCTGATTTTTTAGAAGTAGGTCACCAGGCCTTTCTTCCTACTCTGTCTTTGTCTGGAAACTCCACTGAAACACTTTCAGCATTGTTATGGACTTAACTGTGTCCCTCAAAAATATCTGTTGGAAATCCTAACCTCTATGCCTGTGGTTATAATCCCATTTGGGAATGAGTTGTCTTTGTTATGTTAATGAGAAAGGATTAGCGTAGGATGTGCTTTGAGTCAATCTCTTCTGAGACATAAAAGAGATTAAACAAGCTATTGAGGAAGCAGAGATAGGGGAAGAGAGATGCCAAGTCACATGAAGATTGCCCAGGAGCAGAAGCTCAAAAGAGACAAGGACCTTCCTCCAGAGCTGGCAGAAAGAGAAAGTCGTCCCTCACAGCCGGCACCCTGAATTCGGACTTCTAGCCTACTAAACTGTGAGAAAATAAACATCTGTTTGTTAAAGCCACCCACACGTGGTATTTCTGTTATAGCAGCACTAGCTAACTAAGACAAGCATCATAGCAACACACAAACCTCCACTGATAGACAGGTGGTGAGTGTGCATGAGATGCCTTGGCTGGGTATTGAACCCAGGTCTCCCATATGCAAGGTGAGAATTCTACCACTGAACCACCAATGCTCCCATGACAGCAATATGAGCCTTACTTACATTTAGCTTCTTGCTTTCAGGATCCCCTGATATGTTCTATGCCTCCAAAAAAAGGTCTAAGTCTTTGTCTAATAACATATGACATGGAATATAACAAAATATAGAATTCTTTGGATAGATTAAATAATAAATTTTGGTAGATATAAAAACCACAAAGTGAATTCAAGCTGCCAACCTTTAGGTTAGTAAAACCCCCCAAAAACACAAAAAAAACAAACCTGTTGCCGTCGAGTTGATTCCGACTCATTGTGACCTTAGAGGACAGAGTAGAACTGCCCCTTAGGGTTTCCAAGGAGCGGCTGGTAGATTCGAACTGCTGGCCTTTTGGTTAGCAGCCAAGCTCTTAGCTGCTGCACCACCAGGGCTCCTTAGGTTATTAGTTGAGTGCAAACTGTTTGTACCACCCAGGGACATTTACATGAAAGAATACGTATAAAAGAATACCTGTTCCAAATTGCACAAGAAAGCAAACAATTTTAGAGAAGGAATAGTCGTTCTGTCTGCTACAAAAACACGCCAGCAGACAGCCCCCAGAGATAACTACTCTGTCAGGTGAGGGTCATTCATGTGGTTTCCTTGGAGAGGATCCAACCCAATTGCACTGACCCAGGTGTTCTCTGGCTGAGGCCCCCGGGCGAGGTCACTCACCTGGTAGTGTACGAAGCGCATGTCTCGGGAGTACAGGGTGGCCGTCCACTGGCAGCCGGGGCTCAGGGGGATGGCTCTGGCCAGCTGCTCCAGCGTCCTCTGGTGGTGTGGGTAGAACTTGTGGGCCAGAGTCAGGTGGAGCTGCTTGGTGCAGGGTTTCACGGTGCAGTCTGTTAGATCAGAAGAACACATGGAGGCCAGAGCACCCTCACCTAAATGGTCACGGCTGCCCATCTGGGATCAGTAGCAGAAACAACGTTATACTCGGTGCCTGGGCCTCTACCCACTCCCTCCACTGCACTGCACTCCCTGGTCTCCGGCAAGGATGTGGCCCTGGACTTGGTGGCCTTTCTCACAGAGTTCACCCGATAAAAAGAGATGGTTAAAGACCTGCAGATTCTACAAGAAAGTAGGAAAGAGCAGGGAGAAGAGAAGTGGGTTTAAGGTCTTTAAAATCAGTTGCCGTCGAATCGATTTGACACACAGTGACCCCACGTGTGTCAGGGTAGAACTTTGCTCTACAGAGTTTTCAGTAGCTGATTTTCCGGAAGTAGATCGCCAGGCCTTTCTTCCCAGGCACTTCTGGGTAGATTCACGCCTCTAACCTCTAATGGTTATCAGCTGAGTGTATTAACCCCAGGGACTACTTTTAGGATCAAACCTCCCCTTATGTTTGGGCATACATTGTCTGACTTCCCTAACCTTTTGGCAAAGCCACTCTGGTACAGGAAGAGTCAAACAACTTGATTCTACTCCTGGTTGTGTAACTAAGTGCTGAGCCACCATGGTCAAGATACAGCAAAACTAGCCCTCAGTTCTTCAACAACAAAATGACCTCTGGTGGTCCTTCCCCTTGTTAATCTTTTTTTTTTTTTTAATTGTACTTTAGATGAAGGTTTACAGAACAAATAGTTTCTCATTAGCAGTACACATGTTGTTTTATGACAATGGTTAACAACCCCACGACATGTCAACACTCTCCCTTCTCAACCTTGGGTGCCCTATTACCAGCTTTCCTGTCCCCTCCTGCCTTCTTGTCCTTGTCCTTGGGCTGTGGTGCCCCATTAGTCTCGTTTTGTTTTATGGGGCTGTCTAATCTTTGGCTAAAGGGTGAACCTCGGGAGTGACTTCAGTACTGAGCTAAAAGGGTGTCCGAGGGCCATACTTTCAGGGTTTCTCCAGTCTCTGTCAGGCCAATAAGTCTGGTCTTTTTTTGTGTTAGAATTTTGTTCTACATTTTTCTCCAGGTCTGTCCGGGACCCTCTGTTGTTATCCCGGTCAGAGCAGTCAGTGGTGGTAGCCTCTTGTTAATCTTAATATTTAAAAGCTTATTAACCGGTCCAGGAGAACTATAAAACCATTTGCCATTGAGTCGACCCTGACTCATGGCAACCCCATGTGTGTCAGAGTAGAGCTGTGCTCCATGGGGTTTTCAATGGCTGATTTTTCAGAGGTAGATCACCAGGCCTTTCTTCCAAGGCACTTCCAGGTGGACATGAACTTCCAACCTTTTGGTTAGCAGCTGAGTGCTTTAACCGTTTGGGTCACCCAGGGTCTCCCACCTTATAAAAGGAGATGGTTAAAGACCTACAGGTTTATGAGGAAGTGGGGAAGAGGAGGGTGTAGAGATGTGGGTTTAGTGTCTTAAAAAATCCCGTTGCCGTCAAGTCGATTCTGACTCCTAGCACCCCTACAGGACAGAGTAGAACTGCCCCATAGGGTTTCCAAGGAGCGTCTGGTGGATTCTAACTGCCGACCTTTTGGTTAGCAGCCATAGCACTTAATCACTGTTAGTGTCTTTGGGGTCCACCAATTTGCAAGTTATTTGCTCAAACAAATGACTTAAATGTGCAAAGCCTGCACCCCCCAGCCTGCTACACAGCTTCCCCCTTCATTCTCTAGAGTGTGGAAATTACTCAGCAGCCTGGAGTCATAGGCTCGCGCTCCAGTTTAATGGTGTTTTGTTCAATTTTAGCGTCTCAGGAAGAAAACTCTAGAAGCAACTGAACGCTGTAGAAAGTAAAGCATCTCTAACATGTGGCTCACTCTGGTCAGTGGGGAAGTCCTTCAAGTGGTTAGCCCGTACTCCTGGGTGGCCTCTGTCACCACCTCCCCAGCTTCCTGCTGGCCCTATGCAGTGCCTCTGGAAACAGTGAGCAGGGCCGAGGGCGTCACCTGAGTGGCGGGGTCTGATTTCAGCCGGGCACAAAGTATTCTATGTTCTGGGAGGTGGTGTTTTTATGGAAACAGCGCAGACTTTGGTATCAGGTAGACCTGGCTTTAGACCTGGTTCTGCCCAGTTTGGCTAGGTCACCTGGATGAACATCTTGACCCAACTCAACCTCAGTTTCCCCAGCAGTGACATGCAGCTACTGACCACTGCCTGCTGGGACTGCCAAGACAGATTAATCCATTACTTTGTCATCTTGAGTATTCTCTCAATCAATACTAGCTCCCTGTCACCTCACTCTTGGGTAAGTTACTTACAAAACAGACACAAAGGATCTCTTCTGTTCTTAGGAAACGCCAAGGATGGTGCAAGCATACCTGGGGGGCCCAGTCTTGAGGCGCCCAGTCTTGGAGGCCCCACGGGGCTCTTCAGTCCTCCACACACACCTTTAGTAGCAACCTAGAGAAAGTCCAGGCCTCTAAGCAAGCGCTGAAGTGCTGGGGTGGGGTGGGGTGGAGTGTAAGCTGAAGTACAGAGTGTGTAGGTGGTGGGAAATTCCTTTCCTTACAAATGGGGGCAGGGACACGCTCGCCGTGTGAGTCAGCATGGCCTGGGAAAGACCCGTAGGGGTTGTCGTTGGAACTGTGACTGAGTCATGCTGACTTTTGAATGGGCTTTGTCTTCTTCTCTACAAGGTTCCATTCCCCTGTGTGTTTCAATGGGGAGGGCCAGCATGGTCAGAGGGCCTTACACACTCGTCCTAAGAGGGACACTCCCAGAGCTGAGTCTCGCCACTGTCACTGAGGGCAGGACCATCGTAGCCCCTCAGGGTCAGGCCAGGGGCACAGGTGGGAGGCGGGAGCAGGGCAGAACCCACTCAAGGTTGGGGAACAGACGTGAGGTCAAATCCAGCTCTTTCAGGAAGCGGGGCCAGTCATCATGAAACCCAGGCAGTGTGGACAAGACAAAACCAGGTTCAGATCTAGTTCCACCACTGACTGGTTAGGTGACCTTTGTCCTTCACAACCTCATTCTCCCCATCTGTAAAATGGGGCCCATAATACCCACCGAGGGGAGGAGGGGCGTGAAGAGTAAGTGATATGCTGTGGCTGCTCTGCCCTTTCAGAGGCGAGGGCATTAAACAGTGATCACTTAAACTCATATTTACACAGGGGAGACTCAGCCACATGCCACACAGAGATGTGGTAATTCTAGAGTTATCCAACGTTATGGATTGAATTGTGTTCCCCAAAAATATGTAGTAAAATCATGGTCCCTGTACCGGTGGATGTGATCCTGTTTGAGAGTAAGATTTTCTGTGTTATGTTAATGAGGTCATACCTGAGTACAGGGGGTCCTAAATCTAATCCTTTCTGAGTTAGAAAAAGAGCAGACTAGACACAGGGAGAAGATACCAGGTGAAGACAGACACACACGACAGATGCATCTACCAGCCCAGGAATGCCAAGAACTGCTGGCTGCTCCTAGAAGCTGAAATACACAAAGAAGCACCTTCTCCTACAGCCAAGCCCTAAATTTGGACTTCTGGCCTCCTGAACTGTGAGAAAATAGATTTCTGTTCTTTAAAGCCACCCACTTGTGTTATTTTTGTTATAGCAGCTCTAGGAGGCTAAGATATCCAGAAAATATAATCCACACAGACACCCAGACCCACTGAGCCAGCCTCCAAGTGGAAATCCAAGTGCACTGTCTGAGGACTGGGACAGACTAAACACTGGCAGGGCAGGGAGAGGACTTCTGACCAGGGTGGCCACGGCTCCTTCAAGTCGGACTCAGCAAATCATAACATTATTGAGCACTGTCTGTATGCAGGGACCATAGTGGGCTGGCCCCCCAAAAAGGCTGCACGGTTTATTGAAGAGCGAGATCTCACACCATTTGTAGATAAAGAAAAAAAACTGAGGGAGGAGAGAGGACTTGATCAAGGGCAACAATGGGCGCAAGCATCGCGACTGTGAGGATGGCCCTGGACCGGGCAGTGTTTTGTTCTGTTGTACATAGGGTCGCTTTGAGTCAGAATCGACTCAGTGGCACCTAACAACAATAAGAGCAACTAATAGAGACCAAGATAAAGTCAAACCTGGATCTTCCGATGTCAAGTCCAGAATTATTTCCACTAAACTCACATGTAGCCTTGGCCTCCGGACTAGGGCTGGTGCCTGGAGAAAAGGAATTTTGTGGATTCTCACAGTGAGTATAGATAGCTGTCATGGATTGAATTGTGTCCCCCAAAAATATGTGTATCAATTTGGCTGGGTCATGATTCCCAGTATTGTAGGATTGTGTACCATTTTGTAATCTAATGTGATTTCCTTATGTGTTGTAAACTCTACCACTATGATGTAATAAGATGGATTAGTGGCAGCTATACTGATGAGGTCTACAAGATTGGATAGTGTCTTAAGCCAATCTCTTTTAAGATATAAAAGAGAGAAGCGAGCAGAGAGACATGGGGACCTCATACCACCAGGAAAGCAGTGCCGGGAGCAGAGCATGTCCTTTGGATCTGAGGTTCCTGCGCAAAGAAGCTCCCAGACCAAGGGAAGATTGATAACATAGACCTTCCTCCAGAGCCAACAAAGTGTTCCCCTGGAGCTGACACTCTGAATTTGGATTTGTAACCTAGTAGACTGTGAGAGAATAAACTTCTCTTTGTTAAAGCCATCCACGTGTGGTACTTCTGTTAGAGCAGCACTCGATGACTAAGACAACAGCCTTTCCCCCAAGAAATTAAGGTGAGAAGACTAAGCTCGTACCCTCCAATATTAAAATAAACCTACTTAAAAAACCGGTTGTCCTTAAGTCAATTTCAACTCATGGTGACCCCTTGTGTGTCAGAGTAGAACTGTGCTCCAGAGGGGTTTCAATGACTTAGTTTTTGGAAGTAGATTGCCAGGCCTTTCTTCAGAGGGACCTCAGGGTGAACTCGAACCGCCAATCTTTCAGTTAGCAGTCAAGCATGTTAACTGTTTGCACCAGCCGGGGACTCCAAATCAACTTAAGAGTCATGTTTCACACATAGTGCTGACCTCGTGGGGAGAGATGTCCATTGGGTATGGGGTTGGGGGAGGTGCTGACCCCTCTGCATGCACACCTGCATGTAACCCTCCCCATTTCCATGTATCCACACAAACACTCATGCTTGATGCGTGGAACACCCCTCTGTGACAGTTTCCCAGGCAGCTGGAATATAGCTAAGCGTTTTTGAAAAACCACATCAATAGAAGAAGGCCATTCTCACTTAAAGAAAAGACCCTGTTGGTTCTCAGAAACTTTTTATTCGCTTACATTTTGGAAGACATGGCTCGTTTGAAGTGGCTCATTGAGGAGGATGTAGTTACATTATTCAGCCTCAGGTTAAGGCATGTCCAAGTAACTGGCTGAAGAGTGAGGAAGTCACCAGTTGTCCAGCCCTAGCAGCCTTAAAGAGTAGCCTGGACCCTTTGCTTCCGGAATCCACTCACTGCATTGAAGTTGGGTGAGACTAGCCCCAAAGGAATCACTCACCCGTTAGCTGATCCATGAGGGTGCACTTGGCGGGGACTGCCTACCTGCTAAGACAGACGCTTCGGTGGCAAATGACATGGCGAACTCCCGGATGATGTCTGCGGAGCTGTCATGGATGAAGAAGCCGAGGTAGCTGACGGAGGAGTGGAGAACCAGAGGAATCACGGAGGGGAAGGAGCCCAGGATCCGGTCCCCAGCTCTCTTTAGAGCCTCGTATAGACATTCCACTTTATGGTCTTCACACTAAGAGACAGAGAAGGTGCTTTCTCATCTCTGGGTAGGAAATCATGTATTTATTTAATAAATACAAATTATAGAGCAACCCAAGTGAGACTCTTTCCTGTTCAAAATGCTAGAATTTTTCTATAACTATCTCTGTTGTTAGTTGATGTCGAGTTGGCGCTGACTCCTGGTGACCCCATGTACAACAAAATGAAATGTTGCCCAGGTTTGCACCATGTTCACGATTGTTAATGTGCTCCAGTCCATGGTTGTGGCCACTGTCTATTTTGAGTGCCTTCCAACCTAGGGGGCTCATCTTCCAACACTCTATCCAATAATATTCTCTTATGATCCAAAGGGTTTTCATTGGCTAATTTTCAGAAGTAGATAGCCAGGCCTTTCTTCCTAGTCTGTCTTAGTCTGGAAGCTCCGATGAAACTTATCCACCATAGGTGACCCTGCTGGTATTTGAAGTACCGGTGACGTAGCTTCTGGCATCCCAGCAACCTAGAAGCCACCACAGTAGTACACACTGACAGATGGGTGGTAGATGACTACATCTAGTACTTGGGTATTTGGGGTTGTGGATTTGTTCTATTCCTGGTACTCAGTTACTTAGACAATTCAGATAAAATTGTTTCCTGAGTAGAATATCCTTTAAGTGTTCACATTGGAAACCCCCTTGCCGCTTTAACTACATCCTCTTCCTCCAAATTATGCTAATTCAACCCTGCCTCACATCTTGAGTTAATTTCCCTTCTCTATTCCATTGGCCTATAGCTCTGCTTCGAATTTCATTATTCGCCTTCTGGAAGTTTCCAGTAGACTCTGTGACTGCCACGGAGGTGCCTGCTCAGAGCCTACAGTGAGGACTGTAGTCAGCAGACACCCCCAGCCTGACTGCGGGGCTCAGAGACCAAGCAGGCGGCGCAGCAAAGGCAGGCTGTTGTTCCCCGATGATGTGGCACCCTTCTAATGCAGCCGGAATGTTCTGCAGGCTGGGACGCCCCCGCCTGTCCTCTTTCCTCCCCGTCTCCTTTCACGGGTATCAGACCCACGTTGCCGTCTGAGCTCTCCCTGCCCCTTCCTTCCTTTTCCTCTTTTATCCTTCATGGGTGTGTCCCCAGATACATCTCCACACCTTTCCCTCTGCCATGGTATCTGTTCTCAGACAACCGTGAACCAGCCCAGACTCTGACTGTCCCCCTGCTCTCTCACTGCACCTCGCACCCTCTGATTCATCATGCTTCCTGACGGGGTCCTCGTGTGCCACCTTTGCCCCAAGCAGCAGGAGCTTGCTCTGAGTCTAAGAATTCAGTCTCATCTTCTCAGCCAGACCTCCCAGGCCCAGGGACTGGCCCAGCATGCCTCGCCCACCTGATCCCCACTCCCCTCTCCCACTCCTGTCTTCAGCTGGAGGGGCGACCACCTCCCATGCCCAGGCCACTCCTGGGCTTTGAAAGCCTTCCTCAACTCTGGTGAAAACCCAGACACACCTCCCGCAGCAGGCAACGGGCCCAGCCTTTCTCTTCCCAGTCATGTGGCTCTCCTCTGAATTGCCCGCAGCGCCTCTCCGTCTCTGAAGTACAAAGCCACAGGATGGCGTTTACTGTACAGTCTCATCTCCCCTCTAGCCCAGGGGCTCCCTATGTTCTTCCTGGCCTGTCTCATCTTTGTAGTCCCGGGGTGCCTAGGAAAACGCATGTGCACGGCTGGTGCTCAACACACAGCGCAGCCTGAGTGACTCTCTGCTCACGAATCCATCCACACTGTACTTTTGGTCTCTGATGTGTCATTTGCCAGCACAGAGTCATATTATGAGCGTAGGTGTAATCGCCAGCACTACCTGGTGGCTGACATTTTCATTGTACAGTATCAAAGATGTAAAGTGAATCTCTATTACACTCTTTTCCCAGAAAGAGGCCCTCAGCTAACTAAGACGGGGCTGGTGGGGGAGGCAGTTACCACAAAAGAAGGGAGTTGGGGGACCGTATTTGTGTGTGTGTGTGTCTGTATTAGCATATGTCTGTGCGTGTCTCTCTGTGTATCTGGGTGTGTGTCTCCATGTGTCTGTGCATGTGGTATGTGTGTACATGTCTCTGCGTGTACGTGTGTGTGTACACGTGTGCACGTGTGTCCATGTGCCATGTGTCTCTGTATGTGCATGCGTGTCCTTGTGTGTAGGTGTGTCTCTGTATGTATATGTCTCTGTGTGTCTCTGTACGTGTATGTCTCTGTGTGTATGTGTGTGTGTGCATATGTGTCCTTCTGTGTATGTGTGTGTATCTCTGTGTGCATGTGTGTCTCTGTGCATGCATGCGTGTCCTAGTGTGTATGTGTCTGTGCATATGTGTCCTTCTGTGTATGTGTGTGTATCTCTGTGTGCATGTGTGTCTCTGTGCATGCATGCGTGTCCTAGTGTGTATGTGTCTGTGCATATGTGTCCTTCTGTGTATGTGTGTGTATCTCTGTGTGCATGTGTGTCTCTGTGTGTGCATACATGTCCTTGTGTGTATGTGTGTGCATCTCTGTGTGCATGTGTGTCTCTGTGTGTGCATACATGTCCCTGTGTGTATGGGTGTGTCTGTCTGTGTGTGTCTGTCTGTGTGTGCATGTGTCCTTGTGTGTATGTGTGTGTGCATGTGGGTATGTGTGTGCATGTGTGTCCGTGTCCATGTGTCTCTCTGTGTGTATGTGTGTGTCTCTGTGTGTGCATGTGTGTCCCTCTGTGTCTGTGTGTGCAT